GATGTGGGACTCAATCCCTGGACCCTGGAATCACAACCTGAGCCAAAGGCAGATAGATGCTCAACCATTGAGCCACCCAGGTGCCCCCTGGAGCCTACTTTAAAAAATATATAAGTAAATTCAGTTTTATTGAAACACAGCCACTCATTCATTTGCATATTGTCAGTGGCAGCCTTCCCATGACAATGGCTAAGTTTAGCAGTTGCAACAGAAGACCACAAAGCCCCCAAAGTAAAAAATATTTACTGTCTGGTCCTTTTCAGAAAGTTTGCCAGCTCCAGTATATAGAATTAGAATTGTGCTTAAAAGAATCACCAACTTTTGGAGTCAGATTGGGTTTGAGTTCAGATCCTGACTCCACTATACACTAGCTGTTGAACCGAGTGCAGGTTCTTCCTCTGGTCCTCAGTCTCCACATCCATGAGATGGGGCTGGTTAGCCTTCACACAGCAGGGGGGCAGCAGTGGAGACCAAAGGAGAAAGAGTCCATTGGGGGCTCAGCACTGTGTCTGGCATGCAGCAAAGAATCTGTCAATGTCCACCACTACACATGATAACAGGAGGGCCTCCTCCAAGTGCCTTCCTTTTACCTGTTTTACATTCTGGGTTGTACTGCTTCAGATGGAGTTGGCGGCAGCCTCCCTGGGTGATCCTGAGGGGCCTGTAGTCTGATTGGGAGATGGCCTCTTCCTGCAGAACTAACTGGCCTGGGAGATTGGGGGGGGGCAGGGCACCAGCCCAGGGAGGAAATAGGATCGGGGTTCAGGACTGGGAGGAGGCTGGGGCATTGCCTGGGAGAGAGACTCCAGGCCTGAGTTTGGTGTGAGTGAAGGAGGAAGCCGTGCAGGGCAGGAAGGCTGCCGTGTTCAGCGGGAGCAGGCAGGGTGCCAGGTGCTGTGTCATCCTCTCCCCAGCCACAGAGGTGGGCCCCCCCACCCCATTTTGTCAGTGAAAACAGGAAGTCAGAGAGAACACAGTCCACAGAACACCCTCACTTCTGACCCCAGCTGCAGTCTTTCCTAGAAAGACTCACAGAACTCTCTGAAAGCTCTTGTACTCATGGTTATGATTTATTACAGGGAAGGGACACAGAGTCCAATCAGCCAATCAGAGGGAGTGTGTGGGGCAGAGACCAGGAAACGTCCAGACAGAGCTCTCATCGTCCTCTCCTCACAGAGTGATACATGTGTTACACTCTTGGTTTAGATGTGTGACACACACACACACACACACACACACGCGCGCGCGCGCGCACGGAGGGGTGCCAACCAGGGAAGGTCACGTGGCCCTCCATGCTCAGAATTTTTTTTTTAAGGTTTTGTTTATTTATTCTGAGAAACACAGAGAGAGAGGCAGAGACATTGGCAGAGGGAGAAGCAGACTCCCCATGGTGAGCCTGATGCGGAACTTGATCCTGGGACCCCAGGATCACCACCTGAGCTGAAGACAGACACTCAACCACTGAGCCACCCAGGCGTCCCGGTGTTCAGAGGTTTTACTGGGTGTTTCTGGGCTGAATAGTCTCCCCCCAAATTCACATATTGAAGTCCTAGCCCCCAGTACCCTCAGAATGTGACCTTATTTGGAAATACGATGTTTGCAGATGTGATTAGTTAAGAAGGAGTCATACTGTGTAGGGTAATAATCCAGTATGGATTATTATGGATTATAGTCCATGATGCAATATGACTGGTGTCCTTATGAAAAGGGAAAATTTTGTCATAGACTCACACACAGGGAAAAGCTGTGTGAAGATGAAGGCAGAAATTGGGGTGATGTGTCTGTGAGCCAAAGGACACCAAAGATTGCCAGCAAACCACCGAAAGCCGGGGAAGAGGCCTGGGACACAGTCTCCCTCGCTGACTCAGGAGGAACCAGCCCTGCCGACATGGTGCTCTCGGACTTCTGGCCTCCAGAAGGTGGGAGAGTAGAGTTCTATTGTTTGAGCCCTTTTGTCACAGCAGCCCAAGGACACAAATACACTGGGACTCCATTACAAAGGCACAATTGATTGCTCACGTGGAAGATCTGTCTCCAGTCCCTTTGAGTGTCACCCAAAGGCCATGTGGCTGGACTCTCCAATGTGACAAGGGCCCTCAGGCAAACAAAAGTTCTCCTGCCAGGCATGGCATCCAGGGCCTCCAAGCACAGAGGCCAGACCTCTTTGCAAGTTGGTTGAATTCTTGACCACACAGAGGCCTGGAGGGGAGATGTGACTTGCCCAGGGTCACACTGATAGTGAGCAGCTGGCCTGATTTACAGTTAGGGCACTCCCCACTGTGCCTGCTGCTGGCAGCTCTTCTGAGCTCACAGCCCAGGTCAAGCTACAGATGGGCCAAGAAATTGGCCCAATTCCATTGCTTTAGGTCATCTGATGTTCATGCTTTTGTGGATTCGAACAGGCTGTCTTTGACTGTCCAGGCATGAATTTCCCATCAGAGGAACACCCCTTAGGTGACTGAAGGTCACCCTGAGAAGCCCCTTGTGACTTTCCCATGGCACGGTGGGTGTGGTATTCCCACTGTGCACCTGCTGTCCTTTCCCCCTATGGTCAGAGTGAGCTGTGTGGACTGCATCGGTTTCCAATTCTCTATAACAAATTACCCTCAAACTCCGTGGCTTTAACATTTATTATCTCCGTGTCTGTGGCTTGGGTATTCAGGACTGACTTCGTGGGGGAGGTTCTGGTTCAGGATCTCTTGTCAGGCCACCTTCAAGCTGTCAGCCAGGGCTGCAGTGTCATCCAAAGACTTGACTGGGCTGGAGAACTCACTTTCCTGATGGCTCCCTCACACGGCTGTTGGCAGGAAGACTCAGCTCCTCACCACACAGGCCTGCCCCCGCCCCCACCCCCACCCCTTGCTCACCCCGCAGCTTGGTGCCTGGCATACCCCAGAGTGAGAGGGAAAGGAAGAAGTTGCAGTCTTTTGTGACCTTGTGTTGGAAGTCACATGCCATGCCTTCTGTCATAGGCTGTGCACTATAATCTGTGCTAAGTCCAACCACACTGAAGGGGAGGTGAATTAGACTCTGCCTCTTGGGGACGTGCTTGAGAACCAGTGACCTCCCCCCCAACCAGGGGCCGTCGAGGAGCGGCAGGAATGACCATCCATCACCCCATTACTCAGCTCCTGCTGTTGGCCAGGGACCCAGGTACCTGAGCAAATGTCATCCCAGTCCGGGGCTGTTTGGGGTGAGAAACAAAGTGGTGGGGCCCAGAGACAGGAATGCTAACACCCAGCTCAATGGTGCCTGAAGGTGTTTCTCATTTACAGTTTAAAGCACTCCACTTGCTCTCCCCCAGGCACCATGTGGGCCCAAGGGAAATAGATGAGTGAGACACTGGCCGCCCTCCAGACGCTCGCGGTAAAGGGAGACAGAATTAAGAACTAATGTTTCAATACAGTGTGATCAGTGCTGAAGAAGATTGATGAATGAATCAGTGTAGGACAAAGGAGGGAGGGGTCGCATTTGCTGGGACATCTTCCCCAAAGAAGAGCCTATTTTGCTGGGCTTTGAAGGGTAAGTAGGAGCCCGTTATCCCAGCAAAGAAAGAAAGAGCATTCCAGGCAGAGACTAGCACATGCAAAGGCCCGAAGGTGCTGGGAGCCCAGAGTTTTGGGAACTGAGCAGTTTGGGGCGTGTGGGCAGATGGCAGAAAATAAGGTTGCATGCAGGTAGTTCAGCCCAGATTGTGAAGACTGGCTGTAATTTATCATCAACATTTCCCAAAATGTATTTCATGACTCATGGTTCTGTGAGATATTAACAGGCCTTCCCCCAAAAACAGACCCCAAGATTATTTAAGTTCAGGAAGCCCAGGATTAAGCCCAATTAAAGCTGCTTCCCTACTGCAGGACTTCTCAGAGCCTTTAATTCTCTAATATCCATGAGAATCTCCAAGAGAAAGATAGATTGGATGGGATCCGGTCAGCATTCAACTATGTGGTATTCCCGAACTCATGTGATCATGGGACCCTCTTCCTGAGGGAGTCTCAGAGGCCCGTGTTCCAGGGAACACACTTTGGGACCTACTGCTTATAGCCAGTTGTCAAGATCAGGTATGATCAGGTTCATAGCTCCTGGCAGAAAGAACTGGTTAGCAGCGTGGGGAAGGAGAAGGATGGCAAAGATGCTGAGGGATGGCACCTGTTGGCTTGTGATTGGTTAGGTCGGCTTGGGGGTTGGAGGGTGAAGCAGAAAACGGAATTGTGGTGGACACTCTGGTTTCTAGCGGGTCGTGGTTCCACTGACTCAGACAGGAAGTATGACGGAGCAAGGCAGGCGTGTGGTGTGGATGGTTTGGGTGCTTCTGTGTCAGCCGGGAGGTGTGTAACTGGGCGTGGCTGGGTCACCCGAACTTCATTAGCAGAAGCCCCAGGACCACAAATTCACCAACGTGGAAGAAATGGCCACGTTCCTGGAAAAGCCCAGCCTATCCAAACTGACACAGGAAAAGAAACAGAAAACCTGGCTAGCCCCCTGTCTGTGAAAGACACCAAATTCATAATCCAAAGTCTTTGCACAAAGAAAACGCCAGGCTCAGACAGCTCCACTGGGAAATCCAGTCAAATGCACTAGGGAGAAATGCGCCCCATCCCACAAACACTCTTTCAGAAGGTGACAAGGGGGAGCGGTATGGACAGGTGCGGCTCCGCGTCACACGGGCCTGGCTCCGGTCCGCACTGCGCTGCCCGCATCCGTTCAGAGTGCTGCTCTGGGCGCCCTCCGCGTGTCACACGCCGCGCTGGGTGCTGGAGCCACGTTAGTGAGCCCAGCAGGTAAAACTCGGTGCCCTCCCTGAACAATGCAAGCTTGGACAGGTCGTGCTCTGTCCGGGGGTCCCGTGCATGCAAAGTGGGGACAGCACTCCCGTCCTGCCTGAGAAGCGGTGCTGAGGGAGGGAGGCAGGCAGCCCACAGCAGGCAGTTCCCAGTGGCCACTGATGCTTGTCTGCCTGTCCTGTGTGTACGTGTGTGTCCCACGGCCTGCCCTCTCAGGCTTGAAAATGTGTGGCAGCAGCAGCGGCAGCAACCATGACGAGGCCCCCGTCCTGAGCGACAAGCACCTGGATGTGCCCAACATCATCATCACCCCCCCGACCCCCACGGGCATGATGCTGCCACGGGACTCCAGGCAGACAGGTGAGGCCGCCCTGCCACCACTGCCAGTGTGTCTGAGGGACCTGGCTGGGGACAGCTCACGGGGACAGCCCCTTTTGTTCCGTGGCTCTGAGCCCACGTCCCCACCTGCTGGGGTTTGTTAAAAATTTATGCTTGGATCTGCGTACGATCCACCGAGGGCCCCTTGCATGCACCACCCTCAGCAAGATGTGGCATATTAAGTAATTAGCTAGACAGCCCCTGCCGGCAGCCAGGGCCAGTGATGGATGGGGCTGGGCGGGCCCAGCGAGGTAATGGATGGATGTGCCTTCCCCTGCCAGCTGGGGACGGGTGCTTGCCGGCCACAGCAGTTCAGCTGGATGGGATGGGCTTGGAAACACCATGTTGGGCCGAGCTGCTCTCTGGGCCTTCCAGCTGCAGGGAGCGGGGAGGAGACAGACCCATGCCCCCACCTGCCCTCTGTGGATGCTGTTGGAGCCGGTGAGACAACCTGTTCATCAAAGAGATTTCTGGAGCCACGCCTGTGTTAGGTGCTGTGGCTGCTATTTCAAAAAATAATCAGAAGAAATACTGATATAAACAGTGAGCTTTTCTTCATGGGGTCCTCAGGGTGACTCTGGGCTAGGTCTCGTTTTCATCCCCATTTGGTAGATGGGCACACTGAGGTTCAGAGGGGTGGAGACACTCGCCATGTAGCTGGTAAGTGGCAGGCTTGGGATTCAGACCCAGCCGTGTGACCTGGAGCTCGCGCCGTGCCCCTAGCGAAGCGCCCTCCCAGTGGCCAGCATCAGACAGCCCACCAGCCATCAGGGAGCACAGGCTAACCAGGCCGATGTGGGGCTCCAGAAGTCTGCTGGGGGGCTTTGGGTAGACTTTTCCAGAAGTGCTGAGCCTGGATCGCAGCTTGCCCACCAGGGTGGGTACTCAGGAGGAAGGGAAGCCACAGGACCCCCTCTGGGCCGGGCCCTATGTCAGGCCTGGTTCTGGGCCTTCTCATCAATGATTCACACCAGGTGATCTTCCTGGTCACCTTCCCAAGTGCCAGACGCCAGGCTGAATGCTGCTCACGGTGTTTATTCTCCTTCCAACCCTGAGGGCTGTGAGTACCGCTCTTATCTCTAGTTTATAGTTGGGAAAGCTAAGGTCCAAAGAGGGACAGTGAGTCACCCGAGGGCACACAGCAAGGTGGGGGAAGAGCTGGGCTCTTGCTCCAGTGTCCAACCAGAGAGCTCAGTGCAGGCAACAGAGGCTCCGACCCTTTGCTCTGCCGTCAGGCTTCCTGCCCTGCCAGCCTTGGTGTCCCCAATCTGCAAAATGGGGTCATAACCACCTTCCCTGCCCCCAGGGCCAATGGGAGTGTGGGGAGACATTATAAGGTCAGAGGCCCTGAGCTTGCAGAGGAATTCCTAAAACCCGGAGAGGCCTCTTTAAGTAACCAGCTCCGGGGTGAATCAGCGCAGAGGGCCTGCACAGTGGTATCTTCCTGTCCTGCCTGCTCAGACCCTCTTTCAGAGAGCAGAGGCATAGGATAAAAGGCCCAGACCTCGAGGTCAGAAAACCCTGCATTCGGATCCCTGCTCTGTGACTTTAGCACCTTGTGACACTGAGTAAGACGCTGGCCCTCCCTGAGTCTTGAGTTCCTCCATCTGTAAAATGGTGCCTCAGAGAAGCTGGGGAGGATTGGCCACAAGAAGGTCAGGGTCTGATTTCATGCCCTGCACAGTGGCTGTATTGTTCATATTTCCACCAGTGATATTTAGAGCAGATGGAGACCACCTCTGGGGCTGCTGGCTCCAAGTGATGATTACATACCTGAGCTTCCCCAGGCAATGGGTTGGACCCCCCTGGGTGACTTAGAGAAGCCCCCCCACCCCAGACCTTGCCTTCTCATCTCTAGGACAGCTGTGCGGAGGTATTGACCTCACATCCAGCCCTGGACTTGAAGGCACCTTCCAAAAGATGCTGAGCCAAGGGTGGGGCCCAGGGGTACAATCCCAGGAACCTCAGCTAGGGACCCAGGCGAGCTTGGAGTGTGAGCAGCAGGTGCATGGGGAAGGCCCACGAGACCCAGTGTCACCCAGGTCCCCTGTCAGCATCCCTACCTGCCTGTATGTGGGGGGAGCTCGAGGTGGTGGTACAGAGCATGGAGCCCAGAGGTTCTGGCCTTGGAGCTCTGAGGGGAGGGGACTCAGATGTGGGGGGTGCCCATTCAGTGCTGATTCCTCCTCTTTGTCCTAGTCTGGCTGGATGAGACAGGGTCGTGCCCAGAGGATGGAGAAATAGACCCTGAGGCCTGAGGAGGAGGCACAGGTCGGAGATTGTCTTCACTGGCTCCTGCTCCAGCCACCCCCAACTCCACATGTCTCTGGGGGTGTGGCTGCCTGGGACAGCTGTGCTGAGGTCGCTGGATGCTGGCCGGGAAAACAAAGGATTCTGGGAGCCGACCAGTTGCAATGTGGCAAGAAGAGCAAGGAATCAGCCCTGCCTGCTTCCAGAGCCATGTTTCCCAGGCCCCACCGAGTGGGGACTCCTAACGCCCACACATTCACGGTGACGGCCACTGGGGTGGCAGGGAGAGGCTCTCTTCTGGACAAACGAACCCTCCCTGCACCCTGGGCTACACAGACGGGTACGCAGGAGGGGGACACACACAAGAACTTCTTGCAGAGGAGTGGCTCTGTTTTTTACGAGTTGTTTTACAGATATCAAAACAGTCCACAAAGTGATTTATAATTCCTTTTTTGCATTATCAATAAAGGTCATCTGTAATGAACAGTAAACCCTGTTTCTTGGGCTGGGCAGACGCGACGGAGCGCACGCAGGTGCAGAAGTGAAGAGAATGACTTCATACGAAGGGGCGGGGCTGGCCGGGGTCGAGGGCTGCTTCGGGTGCTCTTGGGCCTTCTATTTGCCCACCACCATGTAAGCCTGAGCCTGGCCAAAGGCACGGAGCCTGAAGTCACGTGAGCCTGAGTCCCAGCTCTGTCCTTGCCAGCTGGGGGATCCTGGTAACAATGCATCTCTAGGATGGGAGGCAGTGGTTCTGGGCTTTGTTTTTTTCAAGAGCATCAAGTCTTTGGTGTCCCTGCGTCCCTCCTAGTCTGTTCTGACGGTGGCACCTGTGTTTGGCTTCTATCAGACGCCGTGTGGCTCCCCCTGTGTTAGTCGCGTTTCTGGAGAAGCAGAGCCCCAGCAAAGACTCTGCTAGGAAAGACTTTATTTGGAAGGTAATCAGGGAGCACACAGGTAAGGAGGGGGGGAGAGAAGTGCAGTTTGGTGGGGGGATCCCAAGACCACTCTCGGGGTTCAGTAATCCCCTAGTAGGACTCAGAACTCAGAAAAGCTGTGCTGACCTGGCTGTGTTTATGGTTTCTTATGGTGAAAGAATGGAGATTACAATCCTCAAAGGGCAGAGGTGACAAGGGTGGGGCCCAGGAGAGAGTGTAGGGAAAGGCTTGCAGGCAGCATCCAGCCTCTGGGATGACGCACACTCAGGGTACTGCCAACCAGGGGAGCACTCTGAGCCACCGGGGTGTCTGCACTTTTTGCTGGGAGTTGGCCACACAGACAGGGCTAGCCGCCCACATGGTGACCTCAGTGTCCAAGCCCTCTGGAGGTCAGGCTGATACCACAGTAAATCACACTGTTAGGCTGTTCTGCGTGACCGGAGGCTCCAGGTAAACAAAGATACTCTTATCAGGCAGGACATTCCTAGAGCCTAGAGGTCACCTACCAGGAGCCCAGGGTAAAGGCCAGACCACTCTGGGAGGGTCCTCCCTCTCCCCTGCTCCTACCCCCATTCATATACACTCTCTAAATACATACATACATAAAATATATATATATTTTTTTAAGATTTTATTTATCTATTCATGAGAGACAGAGAGAGAGAGGCAGAGACACAGGCAGAGGGAGAAGCAGGCTCCATGCAGGGAGCCTGACATGGAAATCTCCCGGATCTGCAGGATCAGGCCCTGGGCTGAAGGTGGTGCTAAACTGCTGAGCTACTCGGGCTGCCCAAAATCTTTTAAAAAAGAAAATAGGATCCCAGAAGATAGTGATACAGTCTGACTCATCAGCATGCTACCAGAGCTCACACACAACAGGTATTCAGCGTTTCTGTTACTTTGCGCTCAAATTGCTGGTTGTGTGCCAGGCACTGTTCTGAGCACTTCCAACTCATAGGATCCTCTTGGAGGAAACCCTTAGAGATAGTGTATTAGGCAGCTTTCCTTTGGCTGTCACACCACTGTGTAACAAACAACCCCAGCTGAATGTGTACATTATGTGTACACATAATCTGAATGTGTACCCACCTTCCCATATTTTACATTGAGACCTAATCTCCAGTGTGATGGTGTAAGGAGGGGGGCCTCTGGGAGGTGAACGAGGTCGTGTGGGCAGAGCCCTGGGGAATGGATTGGTGCCCTTACCAGAGAGATCCCACCGTGTGAGGACATGGCCAAGTGTGAACCTGGCACACTTGGTCTGGTGAAGCAGGTCCTCACCAGACACCAAATCTACTAGTGCCTTGATCTTGGACTTCCCAACCCCCAGAACCATGAAAAATAAATTTCTAGCAACTCAAACAAACTAAGACAAATGTGCTCCCCAAAATTAATGGCTTAGGACAGCAAACATCAATGTCTTACTCCCTGGTCCCTGGGTGGGTGAGCCATGGCTCTACTACATGGCTGTGAGGAGCTGGGCTTTGTCAGGCTAAAGCTGAGTTCAAACCTGCTCTGTGTATCTCCTCCTGCTGTGGCCAGCCGCTACCCCAGTGTGCTGTGATGGAGGGTGGCAGGAGCACAGGGCCCAAGTCAGGTCATGCAAGTGTGTTCGCAGTTCCTGCTTATGACTCTGGGCACCAGGGAGATGCTGGGCCTCAGGGCTGGTGCTGGGCATGAGCCCTGAAGACTGGCTCGGTCTACATGCTGGGGTGCAGGGTAAGGGGAGCCCCCATATCTCCCTAGGCACAGCTCAGAGGCCTCCAGCCCACTCAGCAACCTGCTGCGGCTAATCGCGGCTTCATCCCAGGCTTTTAGTGCCCATGGCAACAGGATGAGGGCTGTGAGCTGGAGCCCAGGCAGGAGGGGCTGGTCAGAGGCTGGTGGTCCCAGGATGCTGGATATGGTTTTCTTGCACAGGCAGGGTGAGTTTTCTTGCTCTCATGGGGCCAAAGGTATCAGTACCAGTCCTGAGCTTTGTGCCTCTTGTAGCTGGAGGCTTCATTCCTGGTGAAGCCAGCATCCATATGAGGGTGCCTGCTGAATAAGGGGAGAGACACCTTTCCTGGTGAATTCTGCACCCCAATCTGCAGCAAACCCATGACACTGCCCGGCCCCTGTCCCTAAGCCTCTACCTTCAAGCAAGCTCTCTCTCCCCACAAGGGTGGGGTGAGGTGGAGGGCACTTGCTCGGTAGAAGCTCTTGCCCAGGGAGGGCATGAAAGTAGGGAGGAGGGCCCCCCACTGCAGCTCTAGCATCCCACACAGGAGCTGTCAGAAAGAATGGGGGAGGGCACCTGGGTGGCTCAGAGGTTGGGTGTCTGCCTTTGGCTCAGGTTGTGATCCTGGGGTCCTGGGATCCAGTCCCACATCCAGTCTCCTTCTCCCTCTGCCTATGTCTCTGCTTCTATCTCTGTGTCTCTCATGAATAAATAAGTACAATCTTTAAAAAAAAAAAAGGGGGGGATGCCTGGGTGGCTCAGTGGTTGAGCAGCTGCCTTCACGCCCAGGGTGTGATCCTGGAGTCCTGGGATTGAGTCCCACATTGGGCTCCCTGCATGGAGCCTGCTTCTCTCTGTGTGTCTCTCGTGAATAAATAAATAAAATCTTTTTTTTTAAAAAAAGAGTCCTCTAGGATGTTAACAATTGAGGTACCTGGGTGGCTCAGTCGGTTAAGCCATTAAATGTCTGCCTTTGGCTTGGGTCGTGATCCCAGGGTCCTGGGATGGAGCCCCTGCTCTGCTTAGCGGGAAGTCTGTTTCTCGTCTCCTTCTGCCTGCTGCTCCCCCCACCCTGGCTTATGCTCTCTGTCAAATAAATAAAATCTCAAAAAAAAAAAGTCATAATGCTGATGTTAGCACAACTGTGTGTAAGAAGACCCACAAGGCCCACCTGTGCAGTCACAACCTCATGAAGTTGGTTGGTTTTGTGTGGACTTGACCCTTCATGATGTAGCCCAGCACGCAGGGATGCAAGAGTGCCTGGTTCTGGGGGTCCCAGACAGACTTGGTCAGGCCACTCATTGCCACCGCCGCGAGAATCTGAAGTGTAAGGAGATTAGAAAGGGATTTATTCCAGTGAGGCCAACACCAGCAAGAGAGCAGGCTAGCAGCTCCAAGACAGTCTCCAAAGTGTCAAAAATACTTCCAGTTTATCTAAGGAAGATGTAGGGCAAAAGTGGGTGGGTGCGTGCAGGTAGACATTGAAGGTCAAATCCATCACTGTCTGGGGTCAATCACGAGAGGTCTCGCAGGCTCAGGGCAGCCCTTATCGCATGAAGGGGTAGCTTCTGTTGCCATCACGGGACGCTTTGCCCTCAGGGTCTTCCACCTGAGCTGAGAGACAAGCTGGGAAGGAGAACCCAAACTAGGACATTTGAGGTCAAGGGTGCTGGTTGACTTGGTGGGGCAACAACTCTCGATCTTGGAGCTATGAGTTCAAGCTCCACGTTCCATGGAGAGATTGTTTTAAAAAAATTAAAAAAAAAAAAAAGGTTTGCAGTCAGAATGGAGGCAGCAGATATCCTTTTTCAATGAAAGGTCAGGGGTGCTCCTATAAGAGGGGGTGGGCCAGGTGGGGTGGGTGCCTCTTTGGGGCTGGTCTGGAATGATGATTTATATGAGCCCACAGCATGGCTCCCTGACTCTTGCTTCTTGAGTGTGTTCTTCCCTAAATACATCCTGGGGGAAATGGATACTAATGTCTGTACTTTATTTTTCATTTACTCTTAATGTCAAAGTCATGCATACCAATTAAAAGCCACAATAAAAACGCTTTGTGAGTGGCTCCCCCCAAAGTGTGTGTTAGCAGGGTGTGGTGCAGAGCTGGTGGTCTCAGGCGAATGAAAAACTAGATGGACGTTGGCGACTCTGACCCCTGAGAAGGGCCATTGGCCCTAACCCTGGCGTGTCCCCGAGAAGCTCCCAGGTTCCAGGAGGCGCGGGAACGCTCGGGCCCACGACTAGGGATTCGTGCTGTGTGCCTCCAGGAGGGGAGAAAGTGTGAAAACAGATGGAAATGTAATGTTTTAATGACAGCAGCAGATGGCAAAAAGACACAAGAGTGTATTCGCACCATGTCAGAGCCATTTGAGAGCGCCCGGCTCCATCGAGATGTGCGCGGGTGGCCGGCGGGATGGCTCCCCCCGCCAAACCCTGAAGGCCTGTGAGCTGTGGGGAGGGTCCACAGGCCTCCAGGAGGGGCGGCTGCCTGGAGCCACAGGTAGATCCGGAGCTCCCTTGGCCACTTGGGTGCTGCAGGGCTTTTCTGGGCCCTGGCGGGCATTGTCCAGGCTCTGTTTTTAGACTGGCCCTACTCCTGGACCTCCTGGAGCTGCCCTAGGCCAGGCCATTGCCAGGGCTCACCTGGATTTCTACTCACAGCCTCCATGTGAGCCTCCTGCTGCTGGACCGTGCCCCACGCCCACCAGAGTTCTCCTCCTAGAATGTGCATCTATTCTTGTCACTCCCTGACCTGCATCCCTCAGAGGGCCTCCTGTTGAGCTCAGGATCCTGTTCACCTTCTTGGAAGCAGCTCACGGAGGAGGC